TTTTTCGATGTTTCTTTTCTCGTATTTAATCGATTGAGTAATTTGTCACAAGACAGCCTTGTTCTCAGTTGTCTTCCTCTTAGTGATTGTATGCAATTTTAACTTCAGACACTTTTATTTGTATCATTAAACATTGAGAAAGCCATGATCGCCCACGTCCTGAAAGGACATGGCACATAAAAGAAAAAGAAAGTTATATATTAATAAAATGAAATTTTCGGTGCCATAGTATGTCAGATTCTATTATGCAAGTCAATTCTTTCACAGTTGAATTGGTATTAACGAACGACTATTGGTAAAATATTCAGAATATAATTATATTTATACGAGTTTCATTTTATAATATTTATCTGTAATGAAAGAAACATGTCTACTTATTCTCGATAAGATCCTTTCATACTCATGAATGAGCTTTTTGTGTGTTTTTTGCTATAGAGCGTGTGTAGTTTATCCTTAGTTATTTCGATTTGCCTTCTCACAAGGCTACATTTAAAGTTCCATGTGTCGATATTACGGTGAGCTGCTGGATCATGTAGTTTGCGTAAATCGAACCTATCAGAATTAATATTAAGGCAGGAGTAAATAGTTGTGTCAACAGCATATATAGCGAGTCTTGAACTCATGGCATTTAGAAGGTCGTTGATGAAAGTAAGGAAGACTAGAGCCCTGAGAGACACAAGCATTAATGTAAAAATATCTCGAGTGGCTGTTCAAGAGAATTTTCATTACAAAGTTTAAGAAAGGCTGAATCAAATCAAAGAAACGATCAGAAACAACAGAACCCTTTAACTTATGAAGAAGTCCAGCATACCAAACTCTGTCGAGATATCTAAAGCAACAGCCCGAGATCCGCCATTCTTATCTAAAGCTTGGCAAACTCAGAAATAACTGTCAACACATCGGCTTTTGACCTTGAGAAATGAAAGCCATATGGTTTGTCTGAAAGAAGCCGCTGCAAGTTGAGATGTTTAACCATTTTTGCAGTTGGTTTGAGCCTCCAGTAATTAGCCAAAAAGAGGTCGATAATTAGAAGGATCAGATGGTTCACCAGATTTCTTAAAAACAGGAACTACAGAAGAGAATTTCCAACAATCTGAAAAGCAAGAATGACAAGGCATCTATTGTAAAGTTTGGAGGGGACAGAGACACATTTCCTAACGACAATTGCATGGATACCATCGAGTCCATATGCTTCGTGGGTATCTAGCTTGAAGATGAGAGCGGAAACCATGAGTTATATGTATATCACACAGTAGAGACTCATTTCTAAATCAGGCATTGTTACCTCTGAGGGGTACAACATGTTTCTATTTATAATTTAATCCAAAAGACAAAGGCCATAAAATATATATTTGATTAACACGATATTCCATTAACCTGAATAAATTATTATTTTATGTGTTAATAGGTGCTCATTAACAGTGTATATTCTCCACGAGTGATTGATTTTGTTAATTTTTCTATTGATTCAACTTAAAAATTACTTTTAGTATTTATTGCATGTAGGAAATCATTTTTGTTAGAATATTGTTATCCATCCTCATATACACCATTTAATGATAGACAAAAAAGTTTTCAATTTGTTTAATATCTGGAGAAGTTCAGATCCATATTATTAATTCAGCATGACTGAAGAAGCACGGTAGAGTAATATAGCGGCTCGAATTGTGGAAGGGGAGAGCCGGGTTCAAATTCCAGCTGAATCCATTACATTCACTTACGTGCCAATACCCGTGGGAAAGTTATGAATCTTTTTCTTATCCTCCCAGTTATGAGTAAATAGCAGGACACACTGGGTTGGCAACTGGTCTACCGCAGGAAGAAATGGCAACCAACTGCGGAAAAATCTGCCTCGTCAGTCATGTATCGAAGGATACATGATCGCCTAAACGTGTATCACGCATAGCACATAACTGACTGAAATGCATTTTTTTACAAATGTTGTTAATAGTTGTCTGAATATACGCTTGATTGCGATCAAGTATCATTCAAAAATCGTTTTGTCCAAGAACTTACAATAAATCTCTGCTTTTATCATAACACAGTCACAACGTTTTATGGAGCTATAATTTTACCTACAATATTAGTTCAAAATATCATTTGACCTCAAGTTTGTTGTTCTCCAGATCATATTGATTGGCTATTTTCATGAAGGACCCAACCTCTATCCATATTCATCACTAAAAATGACCAGGAGGAGGCACGAAGGAGTTACGGATAGCGGCTCGGACTGAGGAATCGGAGAGCCGAGTTCGAATTCCAGTCAGATCCATTACATTCACTTACGTGCTAATAACCTTGGGAAAGGTATGAATCCTCTTTTCCCCCAGCTATGTGTAAATAGCAGAAATACCGGGTTCTATAGCCTTAGATGGCAACTGGTCTATCGCAGAAAGAAATGGCAACCTACTGCGGGAAAAAAAATCTGCTTCGCCAGTCATGTCGAAAGATACATGATCGCTTAAGTGTGTATCACGCATGGCAAATAACTGACTGATTTCAAAATAAGTTTTCATGTTTTGTTTTGTTTTTGCTCAATTTACGCGTTTCTTTTTGTAATGTTTACTTACAATTAGGAGTTTGGCCAATTTCATGCTTTTAACTAATGTTCTTAATATTCAGCGTCATTTCCCTCTGTTTAAACTTACAACTCAAATTTTCTTCAAATATTTTTTTTGTTGGTTAAAATGTCTATTTTTCTTGCTTATTAACCTTTTAATTTTTCCCAAAATCTTTTTTGTGGCATTCTTGTAACAAATTTTCCTTGTTTTTATCAAGTCAACTTTTTCTTTTTTCTCTTTTAATTGTTCCTTGATCTCCATTAAATTATTTCACAATTTCCATCAACACCTTTACAATAACTTCAGAAAAGTTTTCCTCACTTTTGAAGTTATAGCTTTTCTTACGCCCCGTGTCAATCTTTATATATCTGAAATTAAAAGTAAATATTAAAAAAAAAGTATCCTATCGTATATATTTATGTAATATCTGGCTTTTTGTATTCGAGGTTACCCGTTTACTTGGGCGGCTAACCAATCCCAGACTCTCGCTCATTTGTGTTTGTTCAACACCCACAGAGCCAACCTGTGGTTTATAATGCAACTATGCTGAGTAAATCTTGGTTACAGTTCCTAGGAAAGAGTGTATTATCTAGAATGATCAACAACAGCGGTCACGATGACAGCTATCAAAGCCCCCCAAATGTTCCACTCGTCCCCCACTTTCCTCCAGACCGATAACATCAGGAAGACACCTTCCTGATAAATCGACCATGGCGAGATTCGAACCCGGGTCTAATGGTTAGAAAGCGAAGGTTCTAACTGCTCGGCCAGTATATATTTATATAAAATACAAAGAACAACCCACAAATTATCACCACCAAAATAAATTATTGTAAATATTTCTAAAAAAAATCACATATTATAAGATGGGATTCATATTTTATATTTATCATACATTCTGAAGATCATACCAACTTTGATAAATACTGATTTTGTTGTGAAAACATTGCTTAGTACATATAGTATAGAAGTATATAACAATTTGCCAGTGGTTATGTATATGTGTGTGTACGTTTCGTTGAAAACAAAGAAAAGAGTACTGTACTGTCATGTAATATCGTTCCTCCTCTATGGCAGTGAATGCTAGACAATTTCTTGACAGATGAAAAAGAAACTTGAGGCAACGGAAATGGGCATCTACAGAAGGATGCTGGGAATACCATGGAATGAACATGCGGATAACGATGGAGTTTTAGAGAAAATATAAACAAAAAGGATTCTTATAGTTAGAATTAGAAAAAAGGACAATTGAAATTTCTAGGGTACATAATGAGTAAATAGGTTTGGAAAATTTAAAACTCATAGGACAGATTGAAGGCAAGAGGGACAGAGGAAAGCAGCGAATAACCTACGTAACTAGCTTGTCTAAATGGCTAGCAGAACAGGGATTATGACAGCCAGCAAAAAAACAAACATTGCTGAAAGCTACAATGAGCAGGAAGTTGTGAGGAACCATGATCGCCACGTCCTTAAGAGATACAGCACATAAAAGACGTGTGACTGCATGTAAATGCTTCACTGAATCTGCTGACGATATTGTAAAAGGACTACTTAAAGAATATGTGTTTGCATGCGTGTGTGTTTATCTCGGTGTGTGTGTGTGTGTGTGTGTGTGTGTGTGTGTGTGTGTGTGTGTGTGTGTGTGTGTGTGTGTGTTTTAGTAAGCTTAATGTCTTTTATGGCCAAGCACTATTAGGGGAATTGTCTCTCACCAATCTTTCAATTAATGCTTAACCCCCCCCCCAAAAAAAAAAACAGTATTTCAGGTGTTTACCTAGATGCGAAGACACTGGCCACTATTTCTGGTGGTAGATATGCAACTACTTCAGCTGTCAAACCGATGCGAAGAGGGAGCTGCAACGGTAGCATTTTGAAAATGTAAGTTTAATTAAGTAAAGACATCTGTTTTTATGAGTGTTTTGTGCGAACAAATTTTTATTTTATAAGTATATAAGTAAAGATTGTATCCGAGAGTCTTTATTGCCAAGTGCGTATAGTTTATTCAGTAGGCTTCATCTACTCTGGCATAGGGTCACAAATGTGGGACAACTAATACGGATCGAATTCATCAACAATGGTCTGTGAGTCAAAACTGTTAACTCGAGGTTTGCGTCACACCGGTGTATATGCTGCTTATGTGTGAAAGGGTTATACACACAGAATCGAATATGAGTATATGTATACATGTATATACCTGTGAATATGTTGTGTTTATATATATATATATATATATATATATAAGTTAGAAAGAATTGTTTGTTTTCATGCATACACTCTTATGTGTCGAAGTATGTGCAACTCGCAAGCGGTGTTATTATACGGAATATAGGTGTTGGTGTGGCGTATCGGTGGGTAATAGGGAGTCAGTCCAATCAGAGTTGTACAACTCCTTGGCTTCAATGATCAATGAGGGCCCTTAGGCTCCGAAGCACATAAATCATGCAGTTTCACGTTTGTTGTCCACTGCTCTCCGCCAACTGTAGCGCCAAATACACTTTCTTTGTCAAACTCTCCACACCCATTCCAACCACTGCCACTACAGAGGAAGGCGGGGCTGGCAATCGCTTCACACCTCCCCTCTCTCTCTCTCTCTCTTTCTCTGTCTCTCTCTCCCTCTCTCGTCGTTTCGCTCTTGTTGCTGCTGTTATTATTATTCTTATTTACTCTTTCCCCATATCTTTCTCTTTTTCTCCATTCGTAATCGCTTTATTTCGATCTTTCCCCGGCAGCTTTCTTTTCATTTTTTTTCTGAATTTTATTTGTATTACCTCTTCCGAATTTTCTTCCCCACTTTTACTTCAAGTTGTACCTTTTCGCTTTGTGTACTTTTTATTTCATTTCACTTTACATTCTCTTCCCTGCATTTGTTTTCATCGTCGCCATTGTTTTTACACTCGTAACCAGTTTTTTGAAGACATTCTGTTTTCTTTCAAATTCTTTTTTCTGATTTCTTTCGATCTCAGAATCTATTGTTTCCTTCTTGTATACTTACCTGAATATTTCTTTCTTATCACTCTTTATTCACCTGCTAATTATTTTCCTTTTTTCTATTTTACTATAGTCTTTTTCCTTTTTCATTTTATCTAATTTCTCCTCTTTTTTGTCTCCTAAGGTTGAACTTATCTCTTGCATTCCTCTTTTGATTTGTTCACTTTGCTCGTTTTCATATATTCTCTCACTGCTTTCTTTTCGTTTTCTCTCTTTTTTCATTTCCGCTTTTTCTTCTATTTTCGTTACTTGTGTTTTCTTTCGTTCATTTCTCCTCTTTGCTATTACAATCTCGATTTTTGCTTCGACTTTTCCTTCTTTTCTATTTTACGATTTTCTCTGTTGCTTTTTTTATCATGGATAGGTTTTTTTTTCTTCTTTTCTTTCGTTTTATCTATCAATTCTTCCTTTTGTTTCCTTTCCGTTGTAAACTGCTCTCTTTTCATCTAGTCATTTAATTCACTTGTTCTTCTTTTAACTGAGACGTTTGCCTCTATTCCCTTATCTTTCTTTCTGTTTTTATCACCTTTCCGTCCAACATCTTTCTTTATTTCTTTTCCTGTCGTCTTCCCTTTTATTTTTATGCAATTTATTTCCAATTCGCACTATGAAAACCAAATAGGAAAGTATGGTATCAAATCGACAGCCTGAATGTCAATTAAAATCCTGACAAACTCTACAGTTATCTATCATAAAAGAAAATATCTTTTCCTATCTTATTCTGTGCTATTCTTTCATTCTCCATGTTATATTCTGCGTTTCATTTGCCATTTCTATTATCATCTCTCAAACTTCTCACGATTATTTTCTTTTCGAACTTTCCAGTTTTTCTTCCCTTTCTACGTTCTTTATTTTCCCCTTCCTTTAAATTTCACTCGTCTATGTCTCTTCTTTTCCGATTTTCCCCGCTATCACTATTATTATTATTATTATTATTATTATTCCATCTAAATATTGAATATTGATCCTTGTTCTACCACAAACTCTATATACTACAAACTCTATACAATGTTAAGTCATTCTTTTGACAATTTTAGTATTTAATTTCACTTTAACATTATTGTGGATATTTCTCCTCAAGTTTTGCTTTTTTTCCCCACGGTCCAAAAGTGACATGTTCCAATAGAAACTATGGTTGAATTTCCTTTAGACCTAATATGAAAAATGTAAAATAGAAATAAAAATCGTTTCCATTTTTTAGGGGTGACAGAGCAACATATTCTCACTGACATACAGCTGGACTAAGTTAGGAAATGAATTCTGAAAATTAAACTAAATTCTTCATATGTATAATATATCATTACTTAATGCTGTCATTAATTATTTTCTATAAAAATAAAATAAAATAAAAAGACGAGGTTAATTGTAACTTTTAGGCCATAAAGATCCGAAAAACAATTCCTACATAAACTAACTGAATTCTTTTCACCTGCGTTTTCGTTCTTACGCTTCAACTGTGAATGTAGAAAACTTATTTTTACGCATAAATGTTTGCCCACATTTGAAAATTTGAAAATCCAGGAAACAAAAACAGAGCATAGATTCGAAAACAAAGTTCTGTTGAAATCTTCCTGGAAAGAACATCAACGGAAACCTGAGCATCTACAGATCTACGTACATAGATTGTACTCAATATTTAATACACTGTGTGTTTATACAGCTTTATATAACTAAATAAATCCGTTGCATCTTCTCTTCTGGTATGATTTTTGGAAATAAACACCTGGTTATCTTTTTTTCATACGTCATGTGCACCATAAATTTCAACTGTATTTTCATGGTTGTTAGCCGAAGATCCCTTATACTTCGTACTCTCCTTGAAATATCCTAGATGAGTAGTAGTATTCTAACCCGAAGGAGGCTACGCCGAAGGGCGGAGTCTCCTTCGGGGAGGTAAAACCGGCCCTGAACCCGTTTATACGGGTTCAAATGGGCTATTTTTTGGCCGAGCCTAATGGCTCGGGAATGCCCACGTTAAAAAGGCCTTGTGCCACATGACACCCTCGTGGGGGAGGGGGGTGACTCAATATCGAAATCTCCTAGTCATTCATATGTTCTGTCAATGGTATTCGTAGATATGGTCGGTGCAAGAAATGATTTTCGAAAATTTCTTGCCTCAAATATCTAGAAATATAAAATAGGGACGATTTTTTACAATCATGTTCTTCCTGTACAAGAGCCATTCGATGTAAAGGTTTACAGAATAAGAAGCACATTTTATGAGGATATGTGAGAAGGTTAACGGTTAACCCTAGACCTGAACAGGTTAAGATTATAATGGTTGGGGAAGCATCCTCTTGGAAGTTGGTTCATGGGAAAAAAGCGGCACAAATGGAATTTACATCTCACCAATGGTATACGATGGGAATGAGAGTGGTTCGTTACAATGGGCGTGGTATTGTGGGTCTTAGCTGTGGAGCTTAGAACTTGTGAAAGAATGTAGTTCGGCTAAGTACTTTCCATGGAAATAGCGATAGAACAACGAGAGACTTGCATCTTTTCATCTGTGGAAAGGGTTTTAGGATAGAAATAACCCATCATCTACAAAGACGAGGAGACGCTTTTGGACCCTATCAAGCCTAGAAGGTGAAGACTGCATCTTGTAAAAGCAGAGGATAGAAGGAGGAGCCAGTGACTTACTGGAGCAAAACAGGGAACCGACCATTTTTCTATAATCTTTAGTGATGGGGCATATGTACGGTGTTTACTCATTCCCGCACGAGAATGAGATGTGACACAAGGTCGGATTAATGTGGGCACCCGAGCGCGTGCACCCGGGCAAGGTCAAAAATTCCCCTCAGCCCCCCGCAACCGTCAGTTGCGCTGGCCTCGGTGCGAGCACCGATCCCTCCCTCTGGTGCAATGGGAGGGCGCGGCCTCGGACAGCTGTTCCCCAGGGCTGGGCACCTCTTCAGTATAATTTTCCTCAGTTGCCCCCTCTGTCCTCAGACAGAGAAGCCCCTGAGCGCACTCTGTCCAAGGACAGAGACGCAACTGAGAGATGATAAATAATGCGAAATTCCTCCAATGGGGGATTTGCACGCTATGGTGCGTATGTACGAGTTCCACTTGTGGTCTGGGTTTGATTTACAGTCCCTATGGGCGCTCAAGGCACGTGGTCTACCTAAATGAACACCTGTTCATAGCGACAGGCGAAAATTCAGGCTCCTCTCGGTGATCATGAAACGTTACGAGTTTGATTTCGAGACATTGACTGGGACTAGCCAGTTTCCCCACAACTGAACTGTTAAATCTAGGTTAGAGGAGAAATCAGCTGCTAGGCTCTGCTCATGGAGATGTTTCGAGGGTCACCCATATTTCGTGGTATCATCAGCATAGATATTCACAAATGATTGGAGTATATTCTCAGGTAGATTATTTATGTAAATTAGCAAGAGGGGTGAATCGAGAAGCAAGCTGAGTTGATCCCTTGGGCCTCAGAGGACTCGTCGTTCACAAGTCGGTTAAAAATACTAAGAGAATAGCTGCGTATGTGATACTTACGTGTTTGGTAAGAAAAGAAAATATTAGATTTTTAATAATGCTCTAAATGTATCTTTTATCAGTGTCGGAGTGTTGAACAGTATCACTTTTGTAATTTAAAGGTAATTTATTTCATCACTTTAAACGTCATTTTCAGTGGATATTCTTATATGAGTAGACACTTTATTTATTAAACAATATATTTATTTTCGTCTACTCTCTTATTAAAGAAAAATATACGCTCTTTAATAAGATTTCTCGAATCTTAAGGCCAATAAGCCAAAATAAATATACTGTTTAATAAATAAGCGGGGCGTCTACTCAAATAAGAGTATCCAATATAAATAACGTTTAAAGTGATAAAAATCTGCCGGATTAATAAATAAATAAAAAATCCATTACTTCTTTAGAAAATTAATTTATTTGAACTTAAAAATCAAGCCATATATGTTTTATTGCTCTCAACAATTTCAGACCTTTGCTTAAAACTAACGAACGCTGCTTACCTTTACAAACCAAACCCACACACATTTGTGTGTGTGTGTGTGTGTGTGTGTGTGTGTGTGTGTGTGTGTGTGTGTGTGTGTGTGCGGGCGCGCGTGATACACATGTTAGAAAACACATCCCAGTTGTAATAAACAAGTTTTGTAAAACTCACTGCTTCTTTTCGTAGGCTAATGATTATAGATTTAGTGATATAGTACAACTTGATGCAATTTACATGCAGAATCAAACAGATATAATAGGCACGGTTGGGCGCCTCGGCGTGGTGTAATGGTTAGCAAGCTGATCTTGCTAAAACTGTTACAATTGAATAGTGAGTTCGATCCTCACTGAGTGCCCCATACTTTCGGCCATATGCCACATCTAAGCCTCGCTTAGAAAATCAATAAGGCACCTCGAGGCAGTATAATGTTTAGCAAGCTTGTCTCGCTAGAACAATTACGACTGAGTAATGAGTTCGATCCTCACTGGGTGCCCCATACTTTGGGCTTTGTGCCACATCTAAGCTACGCTTGGAAAATCACTATAATAGGCACGGTTACTGAATAAACTAATAAACAATTAGCAAAAACATACTGACATGCACAAAACGCTAGATCTACCCACAAATATAAGATTCCACGTGTTTAAGTTTTCTCTTATAATTCCATTCTGTTATTTATTATTTTGATACCATGTCCCTTTAGAACGTACGCGATCGTGGTACTCCACGGCTTCCTTTTATTTTTACTATTTGTGTCTGTCAATTGCCATGACTTCAATTTCTAGTCGACTTTTCCACTGTTTTAAATTTATAATTTTTTTTTCTCTTAGACTGGTTGCGACCCAAGACTAAAAAACCCAGTCTACTCTCTATTTAACCCATAGACTGGGGAGAAGAGACGGTTTCATGCTTTTTTCCCCCGAGGGCATTTGCGTAAAAGTAACACAATAGACTGGACAAAATCTGAACTCCGCTCGCCGTCACCACTTTTCGCTCTCTTTCTTTTTTCTTCTCTTTCCCTCTCTATTCTCTTTGTCTCTCCTCTCCATATTCTTCTCTCTCTCCCTCACATTCTATCTTCTTTACCTCCCTCTCACTCTATCTCACCTTTCTCTGTTTATTTTCTGAAGAGGAATAAAACGAAAACTTCTGTGGTAGTCCTAACATCTCATTAACAACTCATCTTGATACCTCAATAAAGAAAACAAAAAAGAAATTAAAGTTTTTACCTCCCACCCCCAAGCTCTGATGATCTACAGGTGTAAGGTGTGTAAATTATCTGCAAGTGATTTACTCATTTTCAAAACCAAATTTGCTCAAAATGATCTTTTTTTGTCGGGGGCAGGGGGCAGTTAAAAGAAACCATCTTGTCTATCATCTCTTCTAAGTGCTTCCCATATCTTTGGCCACTTACTTCTTCATATACACATAGATATACTGTCGAAAACAATATCCA